AGTCCAGATGGTACTCAGTGAACAAAGAAGTGAGGCCAATTAAAACTCCGCCTTGGCGTATACATACACAATTATACGCACACAAGTGCAACGAGACAACGCCTTGTCAGTCAAAACGTCATCAAAAATGTCAACAACATTTACAAGTAAAAATGCCGAATTGTGTTGTAAAAGGGTTTAAAAAAATCAAACTACAAGAGATAGATGGTGGGATGGAATCGCATTTCACACATAAATAAGCCTAGAAAGAAACCAATATTTTCAAAAACAAAAAAAAATAACATGGCTCACGCACACATGTTTATAAAACCGGCGTCACTTCGTTTTTCGCAAACTTAACTTTTTTATTTGATCTGAGCAGCCATCAGATCATCATCATGTTTTTTTCTAATTTATTTGAATTGGAACTGACACAGGAATCTGTCCAGTGTTGGGATCAGATGAATTATTAAAAAAACATTGTCTGTAAAAACGAGTCTTAAGTATTTTTTGTAGATAAACTGAAATTAATATTGATATTCATTTAGAAATATTTGTCCCTGGGGTTTGCAATAGGTTTGCCACCTACTACGCTAGTGAGACTAAAACCCACTTTCCTCGAAATGAAAGCCAGATTGACTGCCAGAATACTTACCTTACTTTTTTCGTAAATACCTACATACATATTATACATGGCAAAACCAAATTCCAAAACAAATATTTGCAGATCATACAAACACTTGGTCCGACCTGGGAACCGAACCCGAGACCGCAGCACAGCAGTCATATGTATGTTAGGATTCATGCGGGTGTTTATCAGCCGTGGCAGCCGTCCATGTAAAACATGTTTTTTTTGGCTAAAGTACACAACGGCATGAATTGTGTTTCCAACAAAGTAACAGTACAGTCTTCCTAACTTGACGGATAGTTAATAAACTGATGATTTAAGTTCTGCTATGAACTGGGAACCGAACCCGAGGCCTCAGCACGGCAGTCATATGTATGTGTGTTAGGATTCATGAGGTTGTTTATCAGCCGTCCATGTAAAACATGATTTTATACGCTAAAGTACACAACGGCATGTATTGGGTTTCCAACGAAGTACCAATATCTTCAACAGTAAGTACAGTGAACCGTCAAAGGATCGTAACTTTTTTTTTATGTTAGAGTGGCAAATTAGCAGACAGGTCACCTGATGGCAAGTGACCATCGCCGCCCATGAACGTCTTCAACTCAGGTGTCACAAACGCGTTGCCGGCTTTTTAGGAAGGTGTACGCTCTTTTGTTGAAGGTTTGAAGGTCGTATCAAATCAAATTTAATCAAATTTAATCAAATTTAACAAATACATTCAATGATTTAAGAGTTCGTCGTTGACGACCGTACTAATGTAAATTGTGTTACAGTCGTCAGCGGCTTCCACCCTGGGTAACTCAATTTATAATTGTATAGCTGACTACAATTTTTGAAATCAACACAAAGTTAAAAAATATTAGGAAAAAAAAAAGTATATAATTCAATTAATTAATATAATCTACTGGATTAAATTTATTTACATTATTAAATAACAACAATCTCTTTGTTGACCATAAGCGGGGGTTTACATACGTGTGTGCGTGCCTGTGTGTATGTGTGTTGTGTGTGCGTGAGAAGGTGTGTGTATGTGTGTGTGTGTGTGTGTGTGTATGTGACCGTTGTAGATGAGCATGTTATATGTTAGAGCTATTTACATCTTTGGTGGTTCACGATTTTTTCTACAGTCTCGTAATTTAAGCCTTTCAGCCAGCCAGCAATTATTGCTTTGACTCTATGTGCCGTTAGTGGGTAAATGTTATTATCGACGTTTGCAGCATTATACAAATAATTGCCAAGGACATAGTACTGCCGCCGTGCGAGAGATGTTTTATGTGTGGTTACCGAGTAAATTTTGTTTTTATTGCGTTTCGAGATATGCTTGAAGGTGGTGGACTTATGCTTACGAAGTATTACCGCTTTTACAAAGAGTTTTCTAACAGAAAGAGCCGGGCATTCACTATATAGAAGGTCAGTACTGTATCTTCTTGGCTTACCAAGTATAATCTTGAGTACACCTCTTTGGGCCCGTTCTAACGGGAGTAGAGTTGTTGTACCGGCTCCACCCCATGTCACAATGCAGTACTGGATTATACTCTGCACCAGAGCAAAATATACCACCAACAAAGTGTTTATGTCTGCCGACCGCCTAAGTTTCCTGAATATCGGCATAAGCTTTCTTACTCGGACTGTTAGAGCATTTATATGTGCTGACCAGTTTAAATGCCTATCTATAATGACACCGAGATATTTTACTGTGTCAGTCTGTAACAATTTGGGGCAGACGCAGTCACCCTGTCCAATACAAGTGTGAGCAACAATATTGAAGTGAAGTGGTGGTTGGGCATTTATTCGATGACAGAATGTAATAAATTTAGTCTTATTTAAATTTATTGTTAGAAGGTTATTCTTAAGCCAGATCATTACCTCCCTGAGTGCATTCTCTGCGTATCCATGGCTCTCCTCCCAGGTGCTGCCATGTACTATCAGTGCAGTGTCATCAGCGTATGATACAATGCTACATCCTGGTAGGAGTTTAGTGCACAAACTATTTACATATACCAAGAAAAGAGAGGGCGATAGGACGCTGCCTTGAGGCAAGCCGAAGCTGAGGGATTTAGGATCACTGACATAATTTCCAATTTTAACACACTGCGTGCGGTTTGTGAGGTATGAGCGGAATATATCAAGCGCAACCCCTCGTATTCCAATATGTTCCAATTTGAGCAACAGTAGAGGAATAGAGATAGTGTCAAAGGCCTTAGATAGGTCCAGAAAAACACCAAGGACCTTTGAAGAGTTATCAAGTTTTTTTGCTACTGTTTCTGTTAATAGTAGTGTTGCGTCCTCTGTTGACTTACCCCTGACAAAGCCAAATTGATTTGGTGCAATGATGTTATTCTTGTGCAGGTATTTTATAAGTCTATAATTTAAGATCTTTTCGAGTATTTTGGAGAATACTGTGATTACCGATATTGGTCTGTAGTTGTCGATACTATCACAATTACCCCCCTTGTGGATAGGGTGCACAAGAGCTCTCTTCAAGATGTCAGGAAAAGTACCAGTTGCCAGGCACAAATTAAACGCGGCTGTGAGTGGAGATAATAGGCTTGACTTTGCCCTTTTAATTACTTGGCTAGATATATTATCTATGCCTGTGGCAGTGTTAACTTTAAGGTTGGTGATAATTGAATTAACTTCTCCGCAATCCGTGCTCAATAGAGCCATAGAGTCAGAGACACAGTGAAACTCTGGGTTCATGGGCATGTGTGACGGTTCCCGAGTACTGTGTGTTTTCAAGATGGCGTTCGCCAGAGTATAACCGACATTAGCAAAGTGATCGTTAATGGAATTGAGTGAAGCATGTGGGTCTTGAGTCCGGCAAAGTAGAGAACTTGGCATAGGCGCCGATTGCTTCATGTTGATAATATCTTTTATTGTTGTCCATGTACCCCTAGGGTTCCCTTTGTTTTTATTGAATTCATTTCTCTCGTATTCCACTTTTAGTTTTTGTAGTAAATTATTGCAATAGTTACGGTATCTGGTATAAGTTACTTGTAGTATTGCGTTGTCCGGATGTAGTTTTGAATTTTTATGTAACTTATCCCTATGCCTCATACATCTCAACAAGCCCGGAGTTATCCATGGCTTGATGATTCGCCTGCGACTTGGGATAGTCACTTCCATGGAGTGAGTTTCAATTATTCTTACAATAATAGCTGATAAAGCAGTTACCGCAGTTGTTGCATTTGTGGCATTATAAATTGAACTGAAGTCTATATCGGATAACTTTTGGACTATCGAGGGATAGTCGATTTTTAAGCGAGTGCTACGAGAAGGATTTCTTTTTATTTTTGAATTCAAACTAAAAACCACTGGGGCGTGATCGGTTATAAGGGAATCAAGGACACATGTTAAACCATAATGTTCTGATCTTAGCATCACATGATCAATGCAACTGTCATTTCGGGTCGGGATTTGGTGAGCGGGTAGAAAACCATGGAATGCCATTAAATCCAAGTATTTGAGAGTGCTTGCATCCCCATTGTTCGGCGTAATATTTATGTTGATATCACCTACTATAATTACCGTCTTAACTGAATGCAAGGATGCAATACATTGGTCAAGGCCATCACAAAAGTTATCAATACTTCTATGTGAAGGTGAGCGATAGATAGCTACTATAGCATATTCACTTCCAGATTTGAGGATTAAACAATTTGCATCAGCTATTAAGGGGGTTACAACAGTATGTTCTATGTCAGATCTAATATATATCAGTACGCCGTCGTTTTGGTTGTAATAGTTTGAGGTATACGACGTGTAGCCATTTATTGCCGGTATGTTCGCGGTTTTACTTAACCAACATTCAGTCAGCACAATAATGTGACATTCGATAACCATTCTATCCAGTAGAACCAGTAAGGCATCAAAGTTACAATTTATACTGCGAATATTCGTATGCAATGTGGTCAACGATGTTTGGAGAGCACTAATATGTTCTATAAGGTTATGGGGCGAACATATAATTGACTTAGAACTTTTTACCGAGTCAATATCATTGGATATATCATCAAAATGAGCCATTCCTGTTATGAAAAATTATATGAACTATCTTATGTTTGCAAATGAGCGATACTCGTTCGTCATTATAGTAGTAAATAATAACATGCAGATAAAAGTAAAAATAATGTTTGTGAATGTAAGTGTGAGACTGGTATATAACCGTGTGTGTCAAATGTGTGCCGTTTGTTGTAGAAATATATGGAGTAGCATTACAGTGTGGAATGATGTATGTTATGTATCTATAATAGGAATAAAGATGTGCTTGTGGTGAAAAATAATGCTTACATAGCTTAAAATTCAATCCAAGTAGATACTTAGTATAGCAGTTGTAAATTAAATAGAACATGCAAACAATATAATTAAAGTGCCAAACTGTATTATCCAGTCACGAATCCTGATGGGTATCCAGTCGATCCAAATCACTTGCCGACTCAATTCGATGTGCGCGAGCGCCCGTTCCCTTACGGAGATAGACTCTTCCGTGAGCAGTCCAGCAGAATTCATAACCGTTCTTCTTACAGTACTCACGAGCTAGATAGAAAGTTCTTTTTGTTTTCTGTGTAAGGCATTCAGAGACAAATATCGGTTTAGGCTGCCCTGCCATTTCAAGATGTGTTGTGTTTAATTTGTTCTGGTTATTAATCCGATTAAACGATTTAATGGAGGATAACAGTCTTTCCTTCATTATCACAGAATAGAAATCGATGATAATAGATTTCATTCCGCCTTTGTCGGCGTTTAGACGAAATATGTCTTTTATGTGATGTTCTTCAATATGGGTATTGGTGGTGTTGCATACTTTCTGTACTATGCATATTAAATCCTCTTTTGATTCCGATTTCGGAACTGGGACGTTTCGTATCTCAATACAGGTTTGCTTTTGACATTTCTCTAAATTTTCTATTTTTCCTTCCAGCATTTGGATGTATGCTAAGTGTTCACGACGTTCAGTTTCCATTTTCGAGAACTTATTCTTCATTTCTTCATATTGCTTGGATATGAATTCCATTGACTTAATTATATCGGAGTTTTGGGTAAGTATATTATTGATGGTTGCCTGTATTGAGCCTTGTTGGTTTTTTATTACATCAAACGTTTTTTTTTGTCTCGGCCATGTAAGCATGTAGGTCATCGTCATGTTGGCGCTTGCGAGGACGCGTTCTGCTCGTATTAGTGGAACTTTCGTTATCCGTATCCGTAAACGGGGCCGAACTCATGTTCGTATCTGATTTGTTGGCATCTTTTGTTGTTGTTGGCGGAGTCCTTTTCAGTGGCATTTCAGACAAGTAGAATAGAAGTGTAGTACTAGCACAGCGAAGGTGAGGAGCCAAACACTCCCTAGTTTCTTTATTCGCTCGTGCCAGTCAGGGTGGAGGCGTGCGGATGCGCAGAGATTGCTGTAATTGTCGGCCACAATCAAAGGTCCAACTATACTAATTTATATTATTTTATTATAAGGAGCACATTAATAAATGCCCACAGCGCTCACAGACAATCCTCGCGTCCAAAAGGTCTTAAGTCCGCGGTATACGGCGTCGCTTACGCGTTCTCGCCGTGAGGTCCGATTGCTTGTTCCGTAGGGTATGTTAATAAAAGTTTTAAAGCTCGCCAAATAGTTTAGTCTATTTCTAGCCTAAATCACTTCTCTTTTGCATTAATTCAATTACTCAAATGTAGGTAGACAATTTTACTTATGCTTTCACACTTGCACGGCACTTTAACTTGACTTTATTTGTATCGGTCCGTAACTTGACGGATACTTAACAAACTGATAAGTACTGTTATGTACGTAATCGATTTTATGTTGCCACGGCATTCACATAGATTAGGTATGTGATTTTTTTTATTAGAATTGTTTATTTAGGAACGTAATGAATTTTTTTCGGTAATCATTCATTATGTATAGTACCTAGCTGGTATCCGCAACTTTGTTTGCGTGGAATTTGAAAAGCGTTGCATTAGTAGGTTCGATTCCCGGACAGGGCAAAATTTTTTTCTGAGAGGAAAAATAGCTTCAAAATATCAGTATTCTACAAACATAAATTCACAGTGTCAATAGACTGTCGATATAGTAATATAGGTAATGGTAATATCAACAAAATTGCCATACCTGGAAAATTAAATATATCATTTTCTTACAAATATAAAATGTACCGTTTACCAAACTGTTACAAAGACATCGACGATATTTGTATCAGTGACATCGCGAGGGCCATTGGTCTTACATAGTTAGTAGAATAGGAAATGTGCAGAACTATTCCGACGACATTCCAACCAGTCTTTTTTTTTTCTTCGGATCTCCGGCTCCTCGGGGACTCAGGAGCCAGGAGTATGTGGTGATTCCACTAAAAACCACCCCGACGGCCGGCCTTAGGTGTCCTACTCTGGGGAGGACCCGGACCATGTTATTTCAGGGCCTCCCCGAATTGACACCATGCTTAATCAGGCCCTATCCCAGGGGAGAACACTTCCCCCTTCAATCGCGGCATGGCGGCCCGATCGCATCTTAATGCAATCAAGCCGGCCATTCCATTCCCTACCGCAGCAATCAATCTGCCACCAGAGGTCCCCACTCTCTGGTGGCCCGCGGCCCCGTCGACGGCTGATATCGCCGCCGACGTCTTCTACGTTCGGGGTCGGCCCTCTCCCACAGTCTATTGATACAATATTAAAATAGCAGATTTGAGGCCCAGGTCGCCGGACCACCTTGTAAGGAGCCTACCCACGCTCCGTTTTCCGGTACGTCTTCCGTTTTTCTTTTTTCTTCATCTTTAAGCTGCCACATACCAAAAAAATAAATTAAACTGTTTGTAGAGTTCCGTAATCTTATCAATAAACTCGTATAGGTTCGAAACGTCTGTCTGTTGTTCCACGGCATAGCTTAGGAACTATTAGTACCAGAAAGTTGTAAGTTTGCATGGCTACATATTATATACATATATGAATATTAATGATGCTGAATAACCAATCGTTAGCTGTTTGGTAATATTCTTTGTATTAACAATTTGTGAACTTATGTACATGGGCTCCTCCTTTCTAAGGAGAGGCCTATGTCCATCATCACATCATCATCAATAGCCTTTAATCGTCCACTGCTGGACATAGGCCTTCTCCTTAGGAAGGAGGTTTTGGCCTACTATACCACGCTGGCCAGACGGGTTGGTATAGGGTTTGCATCAAGTTTTCCTTCTCTCTGCAGTGCTGTTGTTCTACGTAGTTTTCTCCCTTATTCGGCTCTTACGACACCCACGGGATGAATAGGGGTGGTGACACTCTGTATTATTAATCCGTCACCACACAGACCGTGTATACTCAGATTATAAACGTAAGTTTGTCTGTTTTTTTATTACTATTTCCCGCCTTAACTACTCAGCTGATCATCGTCAATTTTGCGTTCACGTTGCTATGGTTTGGCACCCTACGTAGTCCCCTCAACATATAATTATAATAACTTTACACATCTCACACACAGAAGTCCGATCTAAAATTGATTTTTCGTTATTTTTTAAAAAGACAAATGCCGCACTAGCAATATATCCTGTGTCGCGGGAGACTTTACAAACATACATAAAACGGACGCAGCAAACACCGACTCAGAACGACAATTTGTGGATCACACAAAGTGTCGTCCCATGTGGGGATCAAAACCACAACACTTATCGTAGTAGGAAGCGGCGTGCCGACCTCTTAAATCACTACGCCATCCTGGAAAGAGCCTGTGCTATAGTAAGCAGACTAATAATAAACATGCTTAAATATTTCTAAATACATATATAATTATTATAGTTAAATTACACCCAGACAGAACAAATGATGGTGCTCATCACACAATTATTTGTCCCATGTAGGAATCGAACCCACGATTACACCAACAGGCCCGGCGAGTATTACTTTTAATTCTTTATACTTTTACATTACACACGAACATTTGTTTATACAAAATAATATTAATATTACGCCACACCGCCTCTAATTAGTAATGTTAGATAACAAAAATAAAAATATTGGGGCCTTTCACCAGAATTGCAGTCCATTTTATTACATTGCCAATATTTCTTTCATTAACATCATCAACAGCCTTTACTAAGCCACTGCTGGACATAGGCCTCTCCTTAGAAAGGAGGTTTTGGCCTACTATACCACGCTGGCCAGACGGGTTCGTATAGGGTTTGTTTCAAGTTTTCCTTCTCTTTGCAGTGCTGTTGTCCTGCTTAGTTTGCTCCCTTAGTCTGCTCTTACGACACCCACGGGATGAATTGGGGTGGTGACAATTTGTATTCTTAATCCAATTTAAAATTTATACCAAATACTGAGGTCTAGTAATACTGGGGTCTACTGAGGTATAGTCCCTATTAGGTGTATAAAAATCAAGGTCCTGAGTAAACATGATAAAAAATATGGTCAAGTTTAGATTTTCACGAAAACTTGTAAGTACCAAATTCTTTTTTAATTTTCAACTTTTTTATTTTTCGGAATTTTCCTTTTGTTTGTGCTGTAAGACCTTGCTTTTACCAATATTGTCAATTCTAGGTCAACCGGAAGTACCCTATGGGTTTCGGGTCGAAGACCTATATGGTAGTTCAAGTTGACCTAGAATCAAAAAAATTGCTGTTTTACAGCACAAATAAAGGAAAAATTTAAAAAAAAGTAGAAAATTAAAGTAAATTTTGGTACTTACAAGTTTTCGCGAAAATCTACGTAAAATCTGGGTAGGTACGGAACCCTCGTCGCACGAGATCGACTCGCACTTGACCTGATTTTTAAGCGGAGCGACTGCCATCAGACCTCCACAACCGAAGTACTAGGCGATATAAAAGTTCTGTTGTTAGAGTTTTTAGCAACGATTGCCAGAGGCATCTGTGGCACCCTTGCTTATCGTGCGTCCAAAACAGGGCCTCAATTCTGCTATTTTATGTTCACGCCAAGCCACTGTCATACCACTGACACGCTATTGAGATGCCATCGAGTGGCCATTGGCATCGGCATAAATATCGGTAGTCTACACTAACTCAGTGTCTCTACAGTGGCGATGGAATGGCAGTGGCTCATCAGTGGTGATATCGAAAAGATTGCCATATTTGGAAAAATAAATAAATCATTTCCTCAAAAAAACGTAACACATTTTCAAATTATAAGGAATGCCAGCCATGCTAGTATGACTAGACATGCTAGTATGCAGCCATGCTAGTATGACAGTGGCTTGGGGTGAACATAAAATAGCAGAATTGAGGCTCAGATATGATACCATAACTTAAAACATGTAAAACATACATCAAATCATCATACAGTCAGGTCTACACATAATACGAGGGGTGATCAATAAGTAATGATAATCGAGTATTTCTAGAACGCACAAAAACCCAAATTATTTTTTTTCTGCTTGCTTATATATCCACTACTTCAGCTTCAAAAACATGTATAAATAGGACACCATTACCGGGAGATACATTCATTTGAATACGAACTGTCGAAGAGAAAACATCAAAATGGAGAAAAATGAAATAAGAGCTGTCATCAAGTACCTCTGCCTGAAAAAAATGTCTACCAAAGACATACACAGCGACTTAGAGGAAACATTGGGGGAGTCTGCTCCTCCATATTCCACAGTCGCACGCTGGGCAAAGGAATTTAAGCTGGGCAGAACCTCCACTGAAGATGAACATCGCGAGGGACGCCCTTCCACGTCCCTTACTGGAGAAAACGTCAAAAAAGTGGCAGATATCGTGTTGGCCGATCGAAGGGTGACCGTAAGGCATGTAGCTGAGGTCACAGGGATCTCCTATGGCAGCGTTCAAAAAATCATTGTCAACAAAATGCATATGAAAAAGGTCTCTGCGCGTTGGGTACCGAGAATGTTAACCGACGAGCAAAAAAGGAACGAGTCGACATTTCGAGGGTGAATCTTCAAAAGTTCCAGGCCGATAAAGAATTTTTTTTGTCGCGTTTTGTGACCATGGACGAGACCTGGATCCACCACTTTGATCCCGAAACCAAACAACAATCAATGAC